TGTTTCCTTGTGTCATTCTGTGGGATCAAATGGTGGCGGTCGTCTTCGTCGTCCGACGAGTTCCGATCCATCGCCGACAGCGACTCGGTAAGTGAACTCGGGATCAATCACTGAGCGAAACACCAAACAGTGAGAAGAATAGACAATTGCAAATTTATAAATAAAGGATTAGGAGTAAATTAATAAATTAAATTACGGATATAATCTGGCAAGAGTGCTTGAAGGAGAAGTGTTCCAGTCACCAGTCGGTGGGTGGAGGAGATTGACGCGGTACCGGTACCTATACTCGCAGGTTGGCTTCCGGTTATCGAACCGGTTTAATCTTTCTGATGATGGACCGAACCGGTTTACATTCGGAGTCGGCCCATTAGATGGGTTGTGGCCCATGTATTGTTTTATGATGCCCAAATAGGCCCATATTATGTAATGCTGTCACGTATTTCTGATACAACTTTACAAATATAAGAAACTCGAACACGTGCATCGACTCTAAAAGATAATTATTTCTATTATAACATTTTTTGCACTTTATATATATATATATATATATATGTCCAAATAACAAAATTTATAAGGTTTTTTTTTTGTACTAAAACTATGAAAATGTAAGTGAGATATATTCGTGTGAGTGGACAAGAATATGAACAAAAGGGGTACATAAGATCTTTGATGGAAGTGTAATGAATTTTGGCTATTCGATTTTTAAAAAATTACTTGGATTGTTGTATTTTTTGATCAAATAAAAAGGACATAATTTATTTTGTATAATTTTATTAAATTGTACAGACCAAAAATACACCAACTATACGGATATTTTAATAATAATCTCTGGTATAGAATAGGGGCTTCAAATCACACCAACTACTGTCTTATTTGGAAGATGAATTAGTTATACGAAACGAAGGGCGACCTTATGATTATTTATTTATTTATTTAATTATAAAGATATTCGTATTTTTCATTGACCTTATTTTCAGCTTTTTTTGGAAGATCAATTTCAAGTGTTTTCTCCACATGCGAATTCCATATAATGTCATCAAAGATTAAAAATCCACGTCATATTATTCCTATATTTCAAACAAAAATAAAGAGAAGTCATTTTAGTGTTATCACGACTACATTGCATCAGATTTTTTTTTAAAAAAAATTATGTATTCGTATAATCTATTATCTAATTTTCTTTTGTTTAGAATTTGATTCCTTAAAATTTTAACGTAATTTTAGTTTTTAATTCTTAGTTTGAAATTATAACTAACAAATATCGAAAAATCATATGGCGCTGAAACAATCTAAAAAAACCAAATTTGGTTATTTTAGAAAATATTGATTCATTCTTTAGTTTTACGTATTTGTAATTTTTTCTTTAATTATCTGGTTAGCATAAACGTAAAATTGTTTCCATTGTAATTCATAACAAAAGATTATTAGTAAATATGATTTTGAATGTTCATCATATCAATCATCTTTTTATTCAATAGTTTAAAATACATCTTATTTCTATATAATTTTTTAATTATTCGACTATTTTTCTAGTATATATATGAAAATTATTCTCATTTTAATTTAAAAATAAAAAAGATATATAACGATGAACATAATTAACTAAGATTTATAAACCACAATAAAATAAAAGATAATTAACACAATTAATATTCTATTTTTTAATTGTACATTATCTCTAACGATCCCAAATATTTTCGGTTTAGAAAAAAAATATTTGTCAATCTTTATCAAATATTAAGATTGTGATATTTATATATAATACATATCATATCGAAATTTATGTAAGGGATACATATCTATAAATATTTTTTTAGGCAATCGGATATTATGTATCGATGTCTAAACTATTTTCGGGATCAGAGAATAAGATATGTGCTTAGAATATACGATCTCTCCTCTAACTTGAAATTCGAACTCGAAATATGATATATATTTTGTGTCTCCATTTTTATTTTACGATTAATCTATCCAAATTGGATTATTTATATTTATAGATATATTGCAAGATGTCTATAGGAATTTATGGAGAATGGTATTATTACATAAAAAGATGGAATCTGTCGGCATGGTGAATATAATCATTAATCTATATCCATCATTTTGCCAAACTATTTCTTTTTGACTTTTTATATGGAAAAAAAAACTAAATAAAAACACTAAACTCTAACTATTTGGCGGGTTAATCAAGCAAAGTGGACATTGCGAAACTTGCTTATTTTATTATTTTATTAATCATAATCGCCCAAATGTAAGAGGACCGTCCATTTTGAGCCGGTCACGAATAAGTTATTTGATTACAATATATACTCTTTTTTTCGATCTGATATTCAAATTCGAGATAAGACATACATTTTATATCTTAATTTCACCATTTGATCTATCCAAATTGAGTTTTTAATATCACATCTTATATATACACACACCTTTTTTTCACTTGCTTTTTCATCTATTAAAACATTTGATTGTAAGTTTTTTTTGGTATGAGATTATATTGTAAGTTGTAATCAAATTAAATAATATCTAAAATATATTTGAATCAAATTTGATCTAAAAATTTATTGATTATAATTTTTTATATTTAATTAAGTAAACATTAATTACATATGAAAATAGTTATAAATTGAATATTTTTTAAATAAATGATTTTTTACTGTAAATCGAAACAAGATTTGATATAAAACCGAACATTATTATTATTATTATTATTATTTAGAAGAGAGCATGTAGATTATTAATTTAATTATATGCAGAAGATTACAAATATTATTTTCTTTCTTGACAAGACCAAACCCATGAACCTAGGACCACTGTTTTCACAGGCATGCTTGCACGGCTTCCGTCTGCTTTTCATTTTTATAATTGAAATCAAAATCAATTCTATATAATTAAAAAAAAAAGCTATTTGAAAAACAAAGGATTTAATTAGAATTAGATTAATGTAAAAGCCAAGATGATGATTATATTTTTCCTACACTATAATATTCCGGATTTGATGTTTGGGTCTATTCTTAAACATTGTAGTTGGCATATTTTGAAATATTTGTTCCAAATGATTTTTTTCAAAATAATGTAGGTTGTTGTTTAATTTATTTTTTGTTACTAAACCCTAATATAATTATCAATTTTAACTCGTATCAATCTCAGAATATATGGTTAATTAATTGACATGTTATGAGAATCGTTAATATTCAAGCTGGATGCTAACAGTTTTCGTATAAGGACCGAATTATTTAAATTCGACATGTGACGTGACAAGAACAAATTTAATTTTAGAAATCAAACACATCAAATATCGTCGATTTTAAAATTAAAAAATAATCAAAAGGCATTACAAAAAGACAAACAAAAGTCGAAAACAAGTGGACAATTAGCGAGATTATGGAACGACAAAAACTAGGATTCTCTACTTTTCCCTCCTTCCAAAGATCTGTCTTCGAACCCACTCCACAAATTAACAACCACAATAATAATAATAATAATAATAATAATATAAAGAAATAAAATAAAAAAGGAAATATTTATGGAAATCAAAATGAGTTGGAGAAGCAACATATATAGCATTTGATAGGGATTTTGCTTTTGAGTCACTAAATCCTTTGCTAAAAGGAGAGGAGTTCGTTTTTGGACCACCCTCCTATAGAGAGAACACCCACCCATTTTATCATATACATATATATATATATATATATATAAATCTAGTGGTATAGTAAAATGGGAGAAAGATCAAATAAAAAAAAAAACAGAGGCGGGAGAAATCCCCGTCTCAATTAAAAAATGACCAACCAGTTAGTTTTGGTTAGTTTATTTATTCCGCATGATTTATCGGTTATTACGTAGGGGTCGAAGGGTTTAGTATCGGATACCAGTCGGACACCGCCGCCGTTAGAAAAAAAAACAGGCGGGGAACTGAATGGCATTA